AGTCAGTAACAACGTAGAACTTCGTACGCACGTACATCAGTTCGAGTTGTCATTCCACATTAGCACAGAGACGTAGTTTGACACTTACTTACTCCTAGAGGAGCATAGGACGCCTACCAGCATTCTCCATCCAACTATAACATGGACAATACTTTCCAGCTCTTTCCAGTTCCTATTGATCCTTTTCATATCTACTTCCAATTCTCAACCCAGTGTGTTCTTCGACCTTCCACTACTTTTCCGTTTCCCTTCGGGATTCCGACTGAGTGCTTCTCTCGTGATAGATTTTGATGATTCCCGAAATGTGTGTCCTTGCTTTTCCAATCGTTGCCTTCACGACTGCATCAGATCCTCCTTGTTTATCAATAATGCTTCTCAGATACTTGAAAGTTTCTATCAGTTGCAGGGTTTCTGCATCAAGTGTGATTGGGTTGATGTTCTGGATTGCGTATTTGAGGGTCATGATTTTTGCTTTATGTATGTTGATGCCTATTGATTCAGAAGCTTCTGCTACACTGGTTGTTTTTATCTGCATTATTTTGTATGGGATAGGATGGCTAGGTCATCTGCGAATTCCAAAACGTCTAATTAGTTCTGAGCTGTCCATTGTATTCCGCGTTTTCCCTCAGATGTGGAGGTTTTCATAATCCAGTTGACCACCAGAAGAAAGAACAAGGGGAAGAGTAGACAGCCTTGTGTGACTCTGGTTCTTACTTGGAATGCATCTGTCAGCTGTTCTCAAAGCATGATTTTGCACTTCAGTCCATCTTATGAGTTCCGGATAATATTGACATTCTTCTCAGGTACTCCATAAAGTCGAAGAAGTTTCCATAATGTTCCCCCATCTACACTGTTAAATGCCTTCTCGTAATAAATGAAGTTGATGTATAATGACAAGTTCCATTCAACTGATTGTTCGACGATGATCCGTAGTGTCGCAATGTGGTCTGTGCACGGCCGATCCTTACGAAATCCAGCCTGTTGATCTCAAAGTTGGTCGTCTACTACGTCTTTCATCTGGTTCAGCAACACTCTGTTGAAGACTTTCCGTGGTACTGACATTAGTGTGATGCCTCTGTAGTTCTCACATTTGCTCAAATCTACTTTCTTTGCAATATTGATGAGGTGTCCTTCTTTCCAGTCCATCGGCACTTTTTCCTCCTTCCAAATCTTCTTGAATAGAAGGTGAAGCATGTTTGTAGTTACTTCGATGTCTGACTTCAGTGCTTTAGCTGGTTTATTGTCAGGTCCTGCTGATTTCCACTTCTGATTAACCTGATGGCCATCCTGATTTCTTCGATCGTTGGTGGAGTGACTTCTATAGGAAGGTCTCTGTGTCCTGCTTTGATGTCCGGTGGATTCAATGGAGTTGGTCTATCCAAGAGTTCCTCAAAGTGTTCAACCCACATCTTCTTTTGTTCTTGAATCTCGGGGATTGGTTTACCCTTCTTTGTACTTAACTGGTTTCTCTGGTTTACTATATTTCCCAGCTAGTGTCTTCGTTGTGTTATATAGTTTTTTTCACATTTTCGTCTGTTGCAGTTTTTTATTCTATCATTGCTAGTTCTTTCACTTATTTCTGCTTGTCGGTTTTAATGCTCTTCTTCACTTGCTTGTTTGATTCTGTGTACTCACTTTGTGCTTGGACATTCTCTGCTCGTGTTCGGCTGTTATTAATTGCTGTCTTCTTGTTCTTACTTTCTTTGATCTCGTCCAGTGTTTCTAAAGCGATCCATTCCTAATGATGATGCTTCTTGAGGCCCAGAACCTCCTGACATGTTGAAGCTAGTGCTTCTTTGATCCATTCCCAATTGTCTACAACAGTGTTCCCCTCACCTTTGAGTAGTTCTTGTAAGCCCTGAAACCTTGGACGCACATAGCTTTGTGTATGCTTTTGTCTACGAAAATTGTGACACCTGTAACCAATTCGTTGAATACACATGGATTTGCAAGTCTCTTGCCATTCTCGTTCCTTTCTCTCAGTCAGTTAATGTCGTCCCATGATATCTTCATAACCGCTGTTGTCCATTCCGAATTCGGTGTTTAGATCTCTCATCAAAATGGTTAGGTCCTTTTTTGGGCACTTCGCTATGATCGATTGCAGCCTTTGGTCGTCGTTGCTATCATCGGTGGGTGCATAACACTGGATAACATTCATTGTAATTCCCTCCTTCCTTGTTCTGAATGATGCTTTGATTATTCTGGATCCGTGAGATTCTCATCCTACAACTGCATTTCGTGCTTGTTTGAACAGCATCAGAGCAATTCCCTGAGTGTGTGTGGAGCATTTTCCTCTTCGTAACCGGAATAGAGCGGCATCTCTCCCGTACCTAACCTTTGATGTCCAGTTTGAGTCCAATGGGTTTCACAAATTCCGAGTACTGCCAATTTGTATCTCCTTATTTTCGTAGGTATTTGACTGGTATTGCCGGTCTCCTACATGTTGTGGATGTTCCATGTAACTGTGAGAATTACTGCTCTGGTTGTTAGAAGGGGCATCGACCTCGTGACTTCCGAAGAATCTTGGCTTTTACCATGAGACCTCATAACTCTTCTAGATGAAGACCTTCTAACTCTCAGGGTAGAGTTAGCATTTTTAGCATTGTTTAACGAGTTAGTTTTGTACGGAATGGGGTCAGTAACCACATGCATAACTCTCCTCCTTTAACCAGGTTTAAGACCGGCAGTAACTCTAGAAGAGCTACAGGTAGAATTAGTTTGACACTAGTATTGAAATAATAATGTATCGGTTTTCAACCGTGCACTACTGGTGTCTATGTCACAAACTTAATTAACAGAATTCAATCATAACTAAACCGTTACTACTCAATGGTCAATTACTTTAAGAAATATATTCTAGACATAAAATACAAATTTATATGATAATACAATTAAATTAATGATATATTTATTCAATTATATTCAACTCATCTATTCATTTTATCCTCAATTTTGTACACCGAAAATGGATTTAAAAATTGTAACGAAAATTAATGTAATTTATAAGAAATATTTATTTAGAAAAACCACTATGTCTATAATATTTGTTTACATTATGATTACCCAGTTACTACAACCTTGTGTCGGAATTCAACGATATAATCCTTTTGATATATATTAAAATGAAAAAGGTGATATTATTTAAGTCAATATTTCTTTTGTATCAATTTATTAAGAAATTTTTGGCCAGGGTGATAGATGGAAACTTCGGTCAATATGACAATTATACTCCCTTTATTAATTCAAGTGAAATGTATTCAGTGTTGTATTTTTTACAGTAACATTATATTATTTCCCCTTATATATGTTGCTTTAAAGTATGTAGAAGAATTAGTACATAAATGATTGTATTTTGATTTAATCACGATGTGATTTTGAGACTGTTTAGGGAAGTATTTTTAGATAGTCAATAGATCTTCATTGGACCAGTCTTTAGTGTTCTTACTTTGGGTCATGAGAATTGAAGTGATTCTCTTTTCAAAGTAAAAGTAGTAGAATCAAGGATTTGCAGTGGTCATCGATTATCAACTATGAGCAGTAAAACTGCGGACCCAATAGAGGTGATACGCATATATACAGCGAGAACACCCCAGAAACAACAGCATAGTCCTTTAGATACAACATCTTTTTCAATCTTTTTTCCTTTCTTATTTTATTACTCGAATACTGATTCACTTTTTGATAGTGAATGATAACTAAATCACTAAAATGTCTGTTTTTTTATTCCTCTTTTAAAAGTTCGTCAGATTAAATTCTCAGGAATTTTACCATCTATTTCTACACTTCAGTATTATCTTTATTTAAATTCTAGAAGATTATTTACATCTTTTTACCTTGAAAGATATTTTGGTTATTACTCATGTATTAGAAAACACTAATAATTTGTTTATATTCTTAGATGGTACCTTGCTCAAACCTTTGATTTATGTATTTTCCAAATGTGTAAACATGACAATACATTTTGATGATTTAAATGTACATTAGTAAATGAAAAGTTTCTCATTTGTTTCAATGGTTAATGATCAAAAATTAGAAAAAATGTCACACTGTTTAGTATATTTTCTTTATTTATCTTTTGAGGAACAAAGAGGAGTCGGCTTCGGAATTCACGCATACAAGAGATTGTGCTAGTAAGCAAAATCATATGATTGCAGATCTGATCAAAAGCACTTGAGGATGAACACATATATTTCTCAGTTCAAACAGATATAAGACAAGAATTTGTTGCTCCATTAAAATGTTTTATTGTGAATAAACAACTATAAATATTTGGATTTCCATGGATTAAATGATACCTTTGCTAATCTAGAGATTTACCATTTTGCTAATTCTATATTGGTTATTTTGGACATTTATAACGAACTTATCGTTACTATTGTCATTCAGTAATAAGGAGTTGAGGTATACTTCAATAGTTGTCAAATGACTGATTTGATTATCCACACTTAAATAAACTGAACTGTCAAAATTGTGAATAATAATGACAAGTATAAAATAAACAAACAAATCTATGACCTTAAACGATCAATAATTTCACTTCACACTTGATAAATAAGATATAAGTGACGATGAAACTTGATTTACTGGGTATTCTAGTTAAATCTAACACAACTTATCGACACTCTTTAAGTAAGGAGAAATTCCTATGTCTATGTATAAAATTGGGTTAAAACTATACATTATGATGTCTGTATTTATAGAGCAATAATATATCATGCTGCTCATAACCGCCTGATAAAAATCATTTATCAATTAGCTTTTAATGGTAAGTTATTAATGTTAAATGATTGTTTTGTGAATAGTGTGATTGTTACTCGACAAGATACTACTATATTAAAAGTAGTTATAGTAGTGATAGTGAAAAATCAGTAGATTTTGTCATTATAGCACAATATATAGAATAATGATACTGTAACAAACAAATAATTCAAGGAAAAAAGCCAGAACAAACAATTATGCAGAATAATATGAATTCATTATATTTTGTGGTTTCTCGTCAGCTGCTTACAACCAAATATATATTAGAATTTTATTTAGAGATAGGAAATAGTGAATGTAAAGGAATGGAATGACAAAGGTTATCAATGATAACTATATATATATGCAAGAATAGGTCAGAGGTTATTTTGTGTTAGAATGAAGGTGGTGGAGTTCAGAGACAGATAAAATAAATTGTGAGGTAATAAAGTATTCACGGAATTAAAAACTGATAAGATGGGTTACGTAATAATTGAATAGAATTTGAAGAGTTCACATAATTTAAGAGAATCAAGTGAGCGGAAATGTGTGAGTGAAAGGGTGGTTTAAGAATTCGTTAATGGGAGTGGAATATAACACAAAATAAATAATAACAAAATAAAACTAATAACCAAACATAAAACAAAAAAAAACAATAAGCATACACACGAAAAAAGGATTACCAGGGTGGCAATAAGTTTATTACTATCTCTTTGATTACATAGATCCGGTTTGAGTTTTTTTTATCGCGATCGCTTCAGCAAAACGGAGAGTAGCGGTACAAACGAAAGTGAAACGAATCTTCTTTTTTCCTGAATAAAAAACAATACAATAGATAAATCGAAGTAAAAAAAATTAAGATGTATTTTTAAAAAAATTAAACGGAATATAAACGATTTATATATGAAATTAAACAAATTTTGATAATTATTATTTGTCTATTCAGCTTAATGAACACATAATCAGTGTACGGCACTTTAACATTAACAATATTAAGCCTAATTAATATAATTACCATCTGAATCTCAATACAGAGTGCCCGCAGTGTCGAGTCACCTAGACTGGTGGCCACATTGCAACATGATCGATAGCATTCGATCTCCACTAATAAGGACTAGACAAGCATGACCACCCAGTGATCAATCAATTGTGATTACATCTCAGTTCTACAGGAGGTTAGTCACGGCTCGGATATCTCAGTGGTAACGTCTTCGACTGTGAAGCTGGGTGACACAAGGTCGAATCCGCCAGGGAGCACCAGTTCCCTCAAGATTACAGGTACACCTTGCTGACGAGTGCCAAGTAGCACGAAACCCGGGTCCAGGGTTTCCTGTTGACTACCTCCAACTACCATCTGAATATAATTATCTATTTTAAATTGTTAATATTTTTGAAATGTCTTAACAAATACTTATGTTATTTTAATAGTTGAGATCATGAGACAATTGAAGCTAGACCATCATGGAAAACCTGGAAGCACTGAACAGCCATTTCGTCCTATTTCAGGACTCCTCAACAGTGCGTATCCACGATCCCTCACATCGGGATCGAAACCAGGAACAACGGTTTCGTACGCGAACGCTTGACGTCTAGACTATTGACCCGGAATCCAACGGTGTTAATGTTTAACTTCAATGAATCCACGAAATTGAGCGAGATAAGCAACTCACTGAAGACAGTCGTGGATGTGTCGTTCAATTTGTGGATTAAATGAGGTTAGACAATAACACCGTTAGAAGTCTAGAGGTTAAGCGTTCGCACGCGAGATCGATAGGTCCTGTGTTCCAATCCCACGGGGCTGGATCGTGTATGAGCACTGCAGAGGATTCCCAAAATAGGACGAAACGGCCTTCCAGTGTTTCCGGGTTTTCCATGGTGGTCTAGCTTCAGTTGTCTCATGATCTCAACTGTTAGATTTAATATAATATCCACAAAACCCATTCTGATACTAATTACTTATGTAATTAGTAGTAAACCAATTAGGAAAAATAAAATACGTTCTAATTTGGTTTACACTTTCCATTATCTTAATTAAAATTGTTTCATAATAGATGCAAAGGTTAGAAAAGCATTTAACGATTGGTGATTGTACAAACCAATTACGGAACATATTAGAATCAATTTATTTCTTTTTCATCAGCGTATGAAATTCATTTCTAAACCAGAGGGGATTTTTTAAAAATTTTATTCATAAACAAGACTGTTGTGACCAATAAAACGTAACATACCTTAATAACACGATTTGATTACTTAATTATTAATGTGTCACTGTTGATTATATTCAATGTGGATTTTATTTACTAATGATAAACACGATTAGAAAACTATGATTCGGCTGAAAAACAGAATCGGCACCTAGAAACATTTATAGTGCTCATCCTTTTGATATGTTGAGGACGTGCAAAATAATGTTGAATTCACTTTTCCACCTTTATTTTATTTTGAATAATAATTCATTATCTAATCAGATAATCAGTCATGGTTTTTGTTATCTATCTTATTAATAACATTTTTAGTTCTTTACAATTATAATTTGATCAGTTAGTTGACTAATTGTTCGTTAGAATTTGGAAACGCATTAAGAGACAGGAATATCAGTTTAGCTACCTCAGTTAAAACACTATTGTATTGGACAAATGTACCGGTACAATAAGTCGATAAGAAAGTAAGACATTCCAAATAGTCCCTTGTGTTATATACCTCAGTGTTGTTTAAATTCTACTCAATGTAACTTCAATTTAACCACAAAATGCACTGGTGTGTTCTGATAATCCTTGTTTGACGTTTCACAGTTAAGCAAATTCAACAACGGGTTCTGTTTCATGTTGGTGTAAAATCATCAACATCCTTGAGGATACTGACGTTCTTCTGATTACTCATTTCACAATTTATAATAACTGATTGCAATCCAAACAATGATAAGAGATTGTCAATATCACATCATTTATGACCCATTGACTGCTTATTATGACTACTTGAGTCTTTCATTGGTAAATGAACTAACAACTGCCAGTTATTTCGTCTAACATCTGATGCCTCGCCGAATCACATAACCTAATGGTTAAATTCTAAAACAATTCAACAGAAACATCATGACGAAGTTGCCTAAGGTGGATGTGAAGAAATGTAATAATATTAAAAATAATCAGTCATGAGTCAAATTTGTCCTTATTATCTAATAAAGTCAACTGGAGGAACACTAATAACCAGGAATCAGCATATAGTTGCCTGATTCTGGTTTAGGATTAATAAGCAGTGAGTTAAACAATCAAAAATAAGTATCAGTAGTATATATTAAATTATCTTAGGTGATTCTCACATGAATTCACATGTCATGATAACTGGGATACATCTCGAACTTTATGGTCTTGATGATGATGAAGGAGGAGATATTAATGTATTCTATCAGTGAACAATTTTCAGTGTTTCATGATGTGGACAGTGTAACAACGATGGAAATTGGAGTTTAACATAGAAAGTGCAGTTTGAGTTCTGGGATTCAGACGAGGTAAATGAAAGATGAAAATTGAGAAATCAAGAGTGAATAGCATTAGCATGTTTTGGTGGTGTTCTGTAGTAGTTCTGTTATAGATATGTGTATAGAGCGATATGTTTCCATAAGCATTGAGTCAGTTTTTGCTAACGGTCGTCTATGTAGGAAAATGTGATCTGACCCACGCATTTAGAATATTAACACATTTTGTTAAGGTTGATCACTAGGTAAAAAAGTCAAATATTTTTTCAACTAATTAATTTTAACTATTTTATACCAACTTGTGTGAATTTTTTCTGTCCAAGTCATGGTTGTTTGGTCAGATCTTCAAGAGATTACGCAAAGCATTCACTTTTTCAACTAATTAGAACATTATTCGCTAATTACATTCGATTGAATGTTGTGATTTAAAATCACATTCCATCATTCTACTATTTGTTTCAAATTAGTTACTTGGAATATTTCTCATTACATATCTATTGATTTAGGTGGATAACTGGCTCAGTTGTTGAGAAATTCCAGTTTAGATCATTAAATACACACACTTTGGTTTAGGTATTCATGTATAATATCACTGCTCATCGTATAATGGTGTATAAATCTAAGTTGAATATGTTTGTAGTTTGGTGATTGTGTTACATCAAATTAAATTTAGACATGGAGTAGGAAGACCTATTGAATGCAAAGAGATGGAAACAGCAACTGGCCCCGCTGAAAGTTGTTCCAATTTACGAGATATCAAAAAAAGAAACACACGTTGGTTAGAGTATGAAATTGTTTGCCCGAACAGCTTACTTTAGGGATAATGCCAGCTCGTCCAACAGTCTAGATAACCGACCATAATCTTGTGGGCTGTACGACCATAAATACTAAGTTAAAGAAAACAATCACGTCCATTGTTATGAGGAAGTCAGTTCAAAACATTTACTGAAATTTCCGATGAAAAGCCTAGGTAGTGTTCGAAAAGTTATAACCGATTGGACAAAATATGTTTGAACAGCTCTCATAAAGGTTACCGAGCTACGTCGGAGTTTAGTAACATGGGGACCAGTAGCTGATAACATTTTGGTTACTATTATGACGAATAGGTTATGGTAAACTCGTGTACAACCATAGAGTAAAAGATAGGTGGGAACTCGTATTTTCAGCCTACATCATGTGTTGCATGTGTAAGAGTTGTTGGGTCCACTGACCACGATAAATACCGTTAGCAAAAGTTGCATCAAAAAAGTGAATAAATCCTATCAAGGCTCTCTATACTCAAGCACTACTGGTTGAGAGCTTATGGAGAAGTGCTATCACAACTGATAGCGACAAGTAGTATCCGTCAAGGTTGCCCGCTTTGCCTAATATTATCTAAGAATATTTTGGAGATAATGCTCTAATTATCTGACTTTTCAGGCACTGATCTCCTGAGATGATTTTTAAATATCGACTTAGAATGCGCAGATGGTATGGTTCTGTTTGGCGAGGACGCTAGAAAATGTCTGGCAGCTTTGAGCAACAATCTCAACACGTTAGAGATGCCATTTACTCTCCTTTTCTCGAATTGAGAAATGTTGCTTTAGAAATTATCTGTATCGACGCCTGAAATGATGACAGGGAGCGAAGTAGTTGAGAGCGTCGACCGCCTCACTAATCTTGCAAGTCTAATCAGTTCTAGTGGGTTAGTGTTTAGCGAAACCTAGGGAGGAAATTTTCTTGGCTTCTTCCAACGTGCGTTGCCTGGGACGTACGATAGATGTCCGTTTGACAATTGAAGGACGAGTGTGCTGAACGGTAGTTTCACTTGTTCTTTGTGGTTGTGAAGTGACTTTTGAAAATAGAGGACATATGTATAGGTTATTAGTATTTGGTCATAGATCAACGCATATGTGTGGACTATCGATTGGTTAATGGTGAGATTAGATACAGGGTACTAAGTAAAGATGACAACTGGTTGGTAAGACAGTGAATCTTCATTAACTGAGGTGGTTGGAACATATGCCCAAGCACTACCTACCCCAGTCAATGAAGTTTGTTGGCGTAGGAATAAGTTCGAAGAGAGCTCGAAGCAGTCAAATCAAAACTTGGTATCAGTTCATGAAATAATTATCTGATCTATAGAGCCGTAGTAGTAGGTGGAAACTATCCGATTAGAGTATTTAAGATAATCACAACAAATAGTTGAAAAAGATGGATGATATAACTAAAAATCGGCCGTAACGCAAAGATTCACTCACTCTATGTCCTCCTTTAGATCTTGAGATAATCTTATACTTTTCCATTATACGAATTCATTCTTTCTTCGCAGATTATATTATTTATGCTTAAACACTACTACTACTACTGATACTATTACATATAATAGCATGATTGTTGAATAATACGGTGAAAAATTACAGCACTAACATTATTCAAAAGAAACTTACATAACTTTAGACTCTTCCACCTGATCTCAAGTATACAAGTATAATTAATCATTACCACAATGATAATAATAATAATAACAACAACAATACCGATGATAATTTCTACGATAATAATAGAAAAAAAAGACATTCTCGGTTATTTATTTCAAGTTGTCTTTTTTTTCATAGAAATATATATTTTTGAAGTTGAGGAAAAGAGAGAGTATTCCCTAGATTGACAACTATTTTGTGATAAGAAAAACAAAAATGTGAGTAGATAAAGACAAAACAACAAATATCTTAACGTTTTGAATATATTTCTGATAAAAGATGGATTGAAAAACAAAATGAGAAAGAACTAAATATGATGAATTAAACTACTTAATCATATGCATGTATGCATAATAGTTCAGAGCAAAATATCTATTTGAGAAAACTCAGATAGATAAGTTCACAATAAAAAAAAGAATAAATCATAAAACAAAAAGAGAAAACAAAAAAGAATTAAATGGAAGCATTTCCAGCACTGATTGAACGAAAAAAAAGGAAGATTCGATCGAAAATTACAATAGCGAAATACACTCTGGATTAATTAAGATCGAAAAATCACACTCTATGCATCGGAAACAATATTTTCTCAAGTTAGAGATTCAAATACAGGAAAAAATAGGGTGAGTGAAATCAAAAACGATAAATAGATTATTTATGGGTAGGGAGAAAGATAAGAAAGGGAACAGAATAAAAATACATGATTACATGAACGAGGATGGGGCGCTTTAAGAAATGAAACAAATGTTTATATCACACATCAAGTAAAAAGACGAATAGATTTATATCATAGTAAATTGTCTTTTATGTTCATATGTCAGCGATTAAAGAGGAAGAAAATGCCATTTTACGATGAACATATAATGAGTTTGCTACGTAACTGTTTATCTTCAAAACAAAGATTAGTCATTAGATTTAACAAGTCATAGCAACCATGAATATCTCCACAGAGAAAAAACAAAAAGCAATATAGGACTAAAAATATCTGAATACGGTGAGTTTCCTCTAATTTTCGGATAACAAAGAAAATTAAAATAAGATAGACTCCAATCCATCCATCACACGCTTTCCATATGTAGTTAAGATTGATATAACAAGGTGTAACCTGGAGAAACGATTGAAGAGGGACAATATAGTAAAGCAAATAAATCGTTTGAAAGTAGGAACTGTGAATGGATTTCTCATAACGTATACAAGTTCCATTAAAAACAATATTCATATCAACGACAGAGCAAAGACAACTCTCCGTATACGCTGAATAGGTCAGTGTACACACAATGAATAAATAAAGTTTACATTTGTGACATGAGAAAAGTTACTAAAGAAGTGAAACAGATAAATAAGTGAATGTGAGAGAAAAAAATATCGCATACTAAACAAAAACAACTCAAAACAATATTATATAAAGAAAGACCGGGTGAAAGTGTGAAGAATAATACATACGGACATATGCATATTTATATACATATGTATTGTCGTCTTGCTATGTAATTCATATATATATATCAGAAAACAGCAAGTCGTTTGAAAATAATAAGATGAATGTCTTTTCCACTGTAACATTTTATTCTTTGTCGGATTTTCAGATAGAAGAAAATTAAACAGATCTACAAATGATTATGCCATTAATCGGCAAACTGAAGGTCTTTAATTTGCTACAAGAAATAAGAAAAAAACAATATAGAAAACTACTCTGAATGATAAATGTCTAAAGTTTTCATAATAAAGTTGGATTTTATAATAATAATGACAATAATAAGTAGTAGTAATGATAGTAATAGTAGAAGTTTGTATATAATAGGTTGGGTGGTTGAAAGTAGTCGATATGAAACCCTAAATCGAGGTTTCGTGTTATTTGGTGTACCTGTTTTCTTTAACGAACTGGTGCTTCCTGCGGATTCTTATTCCATATTTAACCCCGCTTCAGTCTGAAGTGTTCTCACTGAGCTAGTTGAGCGACGACTTGCCTACTGTAGAACCGAGATATTTGCAATCAATTGATTACTATGTAACGACCTCTTTAGACGAACATGAAATTAGACACTATTAAGTGATCGATCAACAGTAGACCAGAGTCCTATTGAATTAATGTGATGAACGTGAGCAAAGAGATTACGAGTATGAGAGTACGGCATATCTAATGATTTTTTCCTTATATCCGAACTGAGTAACAGTTTGCGGCCATTTGAGCTTTATTATTTGATCATCAACACCCAGTAATCACTAAACGAATTCATTTTGTGGTAAAAAATTACATATTTACCGTGGATTTACAAATTTTTCTTATCATTTGGAATTTAAGTAAAAAAACCTTTTGATGAAAAACTAAAGGGTCATAATATTAACTAGTCTGAAATCTTACATAGCAAATTAATGTAATACTATATCTGCAAAAAAGAATAAACCAAAATAAAGAAGTTGTATATTGTACTATAATAAATGTTTTACACTGTAATTGCGATATCAAACACATGTTCAATGTCATAATCTAAATAGATACGTAAATGTAAAATAAATAAATAAATTTCTTAAAAGTACTTTCCCATCAAAAGACGATAATAGTAAACCATTCAAAAAGGAGCCTAAATAATATTAATAACTAACCATAACTATTGGAACATATCAAATCAGTGATTTAAGGTACTTCAATTTATGTTCTAACTCCGTCTGTAGCACTTATAGAGTTACTACCGGTCTCAAGCCCACACAAAAGAGGAGGGTTGGGCATGAGGTTGGCAACCCCATCCGTAGAAAACAATCTTGGTAAAAAAACACTAACCAGAATATACAATTCAAACCATTTAAACCCTGTTCACGGAGATGAAGGAAGAATTATGACGCCTCATGATGACAGCCAAGATTCTTCGGAAGTCACGAGGTCGATGCCCCTTCTGACAACCAGAGCAGTAATTTTTATAATTATATGGAGCATCCACAACATGTAGGAGACCGGCAATACCAGTCAAATACCTACGAAAATAAGGAGATACAAATTGGCAGTACTCGGAATTTGTGAAACCCATTGGACTCAAACTGGACATCAAAGGTTAGGTACGGGAGAGATGCTGCTCTATTCCCGTCACGAAGAGGAAAATGCTCCACACACACTCAGGCAATTGCTCTGATGCTGTTCAAACAAGCACGAAATGCAGTTGTAGGATGGGAATCTCACGGATTCAGAATAATCAAAGCATCATTCAGAACAAAGAAGGAGGGAATTACAATGAATGTTATCCAGTGTTATGCACCCACCAATGATAGCAACGACGACCATAGGCTGCAATCGATCATAGCGAAGTGCCCAAAAAAGGATCTAACCATTCTGATGAGAGATCTAAACACCAAATTCAGAATGGACAACAGCAGTTATGAAGATATCATGGGACGACATTAACTGACTGAGAGAAAGGAAGGAGAATGGCAAGAGACTTGCAAATCTATGTGCATTCAACGAATTGGTTATAGATGTCACAATTTTCGTAGACAAAAGCATACACAAAGTTATATGGGTCTCACCGGACCACTACATTGGGAACTAGATAGATCATATTTGCATCAGTAAAAAAATCCACAAGGTCAATGGAGGATGTGAGAACGAGGAGAGGAGCTGACATAACTTCAGATCACTACCTGCTGGTTGCCGAGGTGAAACTGAAGCTAAAGAAGCACTGGACAACTGGGGAAACAGGATTACAAATGTTCAATACAATCTTCCTTCGATATACTGATTAACTCAACTAATTCAAGATAACTCTCAACAACAGGTTCCAAGGCTTACAAGAATTACTCAAAGGTGAGGGGAACACTAAGGAGAACAATTGGAAAAGGATCAAAGAAGCATTAACTTCAAGGTGGCAAGGAGTTCTGGGCGTCAAGAGTCATCGCCATAAGGAATGGATCTCTATCGAAATACCTGACAACATAACAGCCGAAGCATTAAAGTCAGACATATAGTCGTTTGCAAACATGCTTCAAGTTCTATTCAAAAAGATTTCGGAGGAAGAATAAGTGTTGAAAGGCTGAAAAACAGAACATCTCATCAAGATTCCAAAGACAAGAAAAATGAGCAAGAGTGAAAATTACACAGGCATCACACTACTGTAAGTACCAGGGAAGGTCTTCAACAACGTTGCTGAACCGGGTAAAGGATTTAGTAGATGCCCAACTTCGAGATCAACAGACTGGATTCTGTAATGATTGGTCATGCACGGTCCAGATCGCTACATTACGGATAATCGTTGAACGATCAATTGAATGTAACTCGTCACTATAGATCAACTTATTTGACTATCAGAAAGCATTTGACAGCGTGGGTGGGAGAACATTATGGGAACTTCATCCACCTTATGCCGTACCTGAGAAAATCACCATCATCCAGAATTCATACGACGGACCATACAGCAACGTCGTGCATGGAGGACAGCAGACAGATGCATTCCAAGTAAGAACCGGAGTCAGACAAAGCTGCTTACTGTCACTCTTTTTCTTTTTTTTGGTGGTACACTGGATTATGAAAACCTCCACATCTGACGGGAAGAACAGAATAAAATGGACAGGTTGAATGCAACTAGACCATTTGGACTTCATAGATGAACTGACCATTCTATCCCATACACATCAACGAATACCGGTCAGGACAGCCAGTGTAGCAGAAGCCTCTGAATCAATAGGCATCAACATACATAAAGCAAAAATCATGATCGTCAAATACAAAACGCAGAACACCAACCCAATCACATTTGATGCAGAAGCCCTGCAACTAAAGGAAACTTTCAAGTATCTGAGAAGCATTATTGAGAAACAAGGAGGATCTGATGCAGACGTAAAGGCGATGATTGGAAAAGCGAGGATAGCATTCCTACAGTTGAAGAACATCTGCTACTCGAAATAGCTGTCAGCCAATGTCAAAATGAGAATCTTCAATACGAACGTCAAAACAAGATCTCCAATCACTTCCAATATTTTTTAAAACCAAATTCTGAACATAAACAAATCAATGGACTGTGTTAATTCATATCTTATTGTCTACTTTCAACAGAATACTAGTGATTGTCCAGTTAATTTAGGGATGATAAACTTCCAGGAAATTTTATACACATAAATGTTTAATTAACACAAATAATATCATTTGAAATCCACATGAAGTTAATGTATTCTAGGTGGTGCATTAATAAACATCATAAATAAGTATTATGTAATAAATAAATAAAATAAAATAATTACCAATTTATAGTAATCTGTCAGTTTATGTATACGAATGAATGAACGAATAGACTATTTCATCTCTGGTTATTGTGAATTCCACCAGTGGTAAGGTTACTTCCACCAGTTGTCATTGTATGATTAAATGATTGATTGAGTTCTGTTTTATTGTTTGGATCTTTGACTAAATTGCAATTAGTTTGACGAAATGCATTGTTAAAATCCATACCATGCTGTGTACGTTGAACATTGTCAAGAAATTCGGATTTATTAGATACACTGTTATTATTATTATTATTCGTGTTAAATTTTTTGAGTACATGTGTAGTTACGGCACTGCCGCTACCACTCCCAGCAGCACTTGCCCCAGTTCCATTTTGGCGACTTGCAGAACTAGTACTGCTTGTGCCTAAAATTGAAAGTAATGAAAAAAAACGTGTTAGAAGCGTAGGAGTATCCAATTGGAGAATTAAACTGTTAAACATATTACACATAGAAAAAACATATATATGTATATATCATAAGTGGAACTATGGTTGCAATTAGTAAAGGAAAAAACACAAATAGATGATGCCTTCTAGCATAAACCATGAGCTGTTAAAAGAAAAGTGCAGTAAATTACCATTAGTTTAATGTACCAAAAATTATTGTGTTTGATATGTGAAGAAATAACCAAAAAATATGCTTGATTTATTGTAAGAACTAGACGATATTAATAATAATAGTAAAAGTGATTATACAGTGAGTGTGCATTATGCTTGCCTATTTTTTGAGATTATTTATCTATAGTACAAAACAGACTATATACACCCTAAAGCTAGTCAAATTATATAACTGAATTAGTAGTAATAATCTATAATAATGTACTTATGTGTATGCACGATATCAAACCTGATTCATGTATTTTATCTTCCATGAATGATAAATGTTCAGCACTGAAATCATTATTAATGATACTGTCATGTTTTGCCAACAAAAATAATTGATTATTATTATCACTGTCATTATGATCTATTTCTTTATTATTACTGTAACATTCACTAGTAGTGATTATTGTTGTTGTTCGGTCATTATCAATAACATTATTCGTTATTTGTTGGTTTAGTGATTTCACTGAGTATGAATTACGTCGATTATCATTTGTAGGAGAAGTAGATATGGTAGAATTAGTAATGGCAACTGATGATAGATTATCAACTATCTTATAATTATTATTATTGACATTCTCATCGGATAACAATATTAATGAGTTTTTTGCGGAATTTAGTTCATGCAGATCAGAATGGCGATCATGCACAACATTTTTAGTTTGACATGTTTGTTGTTCTTCTTGTTGTTGCTTCTGTTGTGTATCTAATTTTTTACATGCATTATTAATATTATTATTATTAGCATGCGATGATGAATTAAGAGTTTTTCGGATGAATGGCATACAAAAACATGGATGAGATGAGACTAAACACAAACATATATACATATAAATCGAAAGTCAGTGAATAAGTATATTGCATTTCCAACAAAATTTGATTGGGTCAGTGGATTTTGAGATGAAGGATTTCCAGGTTCAGTGTGTTCAATGTACACAACAGTTAACACATGATTATCCACAATGATAATTACGATTCAAGGTTTAAACAATGAATTAGTATTAGGATAAATATAATTTATCATTATTATCATTATTACATGACCAGAGTAACCGGGACTTAGAATTAGGGTATTGTACAACAATAATGATGTAAAAACATACATATATACACATATGTGCATATACAATACAGGTAGTAATTATATTCATGATAAACACAATAATAATCCGAATCGAAGATAAATAGTAAAAGCAAGAATATCATGATACCCAAACAAATCAGGAGACAAGTAATTACAAAGAAATAAAATTTTAAAAAATCGTATTTGTAAACACAAGCAAGCGGTGCAAGCACACAAACATACACGCATATGTGTATAACACCACATTTTGTACATTCATTTAGAAAGTAGTCCACATTTTGTTGTTGTTTTGCCGAGGTAAAACAAAAAAAGAAATGAAAGAACAAAAATTGAAAAAGGCTAGTGAGTAAATCAATCAATGAATGGTAAAGATTCAATATGAATTACACAATTGTCATGGCTAATATTAAGGATAAAACAATGTTTAAGAGAGAGAAAGAGAGAAAAAAAATCTTAATTGTTCTTTCCGTAGATTGATTAATCCATGTATTGTGTGAAGATTTTATGTAATGAGTTATAGGTTACACTTTATTTGTATGACGGCTAACGATACGCTCCACGTCAGCCAAAGCGAAATAACTGAAACAGGGTTCGAACTTTTTGACCTACTTGTTGAAAACCAAGTGCTAGAACCACTGAGTTACCACTCCACTGTAAATGAATTAAAGATTCTTTATGAAATTGTATCGTGTTAAAAATTAATGCAGATACTCAATTCACATTATTTCCCAGTTCAGTGGAATTAATTAATGTGCTGCTGATCATTGGTTTTAATCTTGGGATAATTTTCATAGAATTTTTTAAAATTTTTACTGAGATATAATGTGCACTTGTAACCTGAGATAGCAGTGAATCTTAATATATTATATTGAAGACTAATCAATACTTTGATAGCACAAATTACTTGAAAGTAAAATTATTAACTGAAATAGAACGCAATCAAACATTTATAAAGCTAAAATTAAAGTTTTATAGATAGGGCTTGTAAATTCATACTAACAAATTGTTTCAAATCAGAGAAAAGACTTCTGCAGGTTATTACTTAAGTGTCAACTATCCTGAAGTTGATATCTAACCTAAATGTTTAATTATCTGTTTATTGTAACTTATTTAGCAAGTAGTACAGTTATAGTGCTCGAATTTATGCCATTTTATTTATCATAAGGAATACTAGTACTATTGACTTGCTGAAACCAAAGAAGATAAAAAAAGATGTGTTCATCGGACCTGTGACTCAATAATTGACGGTGAACTAATTTATTTTACTACCTATTAGGCAACCACTACACTTATACTATCAATTTAGAGGTAAAATTTTCATGGGATCACCTTGTAGATCAATCACTTTATATGTAGAAAAAATCAAACCAGTATCCCATTAAAATAATCTAGCTTGTTATATTAAATTGAAATTTATAAATTAATTATTGCAAGGCTAAAACAAATTAATAACTATTGTTAACGGTACAACCATAAAAGTTACGAGAAAGAAAGGAGATCAAATCTGTAGGATATTTTCTTTTATAGTCAAGCTTATACATGTAGTTTCTAAGCTAAACTTTATTTGTATGTTTCAAGCTTGGTGATATTCTCTGGTTGACCAAAGCGAGTGAAATATATGATGGGATTCCTACTTGGAACCTAATAGTAACACATTAGCTGCTGAAATCCCCAAGGCACTGAAACTATTATTTATGAACGATTAGTACAAAAAGCATGTACAAACATACAACGACACTGTGATAGAATTATTTTGAGATGACACTACTAAATTCTTTAAAACGGCAATTTGGGTCAGAAAAATACAAAGAAATAAATTAATTGAAGTAGAGGTCTGATTATAGTAGTAGTGATGGAGTTTACAAAAGAACTGATTAAAAGCGAGCAAGTATTTTATATGCGGATTATGATAAACAATATATGAGTTATAGACACCTCAGCAGCTAACATACACACACGCAAAGAGAGATAGAGTAGGAGAAACATTCACATTTCAATTATACTATGAAATAATTAGCATCAATAAGATAAAACTTATTTTTCTTCAGATGGGCACAGAAAAAGGACTGATTCATTGATACATTTACTAGTCCACAGAAAGATGATACATTGTTTGCTATTGCTAATACAACTACTAATATACTATTGTTATCCTTTAGTACTCTTAAGTATTTATAGTCAATTATGTAATTTATCATTGCATGCAACTAAAATACTGTTAAATATTTAATCATTTCATGAATGAGTTGAATTTTTGTTTGTCAAGTTTAAACTTCGGAAATAAACCTCACCATCAATGAGAATTAACACATATTTTTGCATGGATGGAAATAATCAGCTTGTTATTTATGTTTGTCAACCAAAAAGCCAACTCAGACAGAAATTAGATCCGAACATTCATTATAGATAACTGGTGTTTGAAGTATACATATATATTTGAAATACACGGTTATTGCAAAAACACACCAGCCTCATGCATGAACATGTGAACTCTCAGTCTCATAATTTTGAAATAAAAACTAACCGGAAAGACTTTGTACACTTGATGGATCAGTGCGTCGTTGAATACCCTTATTTAAGGAAGGAAGGCCTTTAGAAGCTGAGGTATCTAGTGGTGTGATCATACTTTGAGGAACATTGGTGTTAAGTGTTTGAGTAGTAGTATTAGCCGATAGACCAGCTGGACGTCTGTTACCAGAATAACCGGTAGAAGAGGAAGATGTTGAAGATGCAGAAGAACGAGATGAACTAGACGAGGAAGAGTTGTTTACTTTCTGCTGTTGTATCTTTTGATTTGATGTAGCATTCATAGTAGTAACATGTGTCTGATTAGGAATAACAGAACGTGTATGAGGAGCCATGGTAGTGGTATTTACCGGATACATGGCAGAATCCACACCCATTTGACTAAAAATAATAGATGAAACAGAACTACTGAGGACGTATATAACTAAACAAAGGCAAGTAAAAAGAAAAACATATCTCCAAACATAAAAATTGAACAACTAAGACGTAGGTTAACGTTTGAAAAAAACAGGAAAAAACATCTAAAAATATACGAATCCATTAAATACTTGGGTTTCTATTCAAGTTATTTATAAAAGATTAAGAACATATGGATATTGAAAGATACACAAAGTAAACTGGCAACAGATTCCCATAACTAAATTAACACCGTTTGTCCCAACATTTTAATCTTGAAGAAGTCTAGGTATAAAAAGGTATGAAACATCTCAAATAAAAAGAATCAAACACTAAATTGACAATATAATCTGGTGTAAAAAAACACATCACGGAACAAAAAGTCATTTTAAACTTACCCGTTATTTGACATTCTATTTCTAAGACCAGAAAGAGCAGATGAGTTTGGGTTAACAAAACTACAGTCATTTCCATTTGCATCAACATTACAAGGACCAGATGAAGACACAGGAGCTGTTGATGGAATAGGATAAAGTACAGGTGGGTAGGGATAATGAGAGTTGGTTTGAGCAAGTGAATTCCCTTCACCAGGTATAGGAGATGACATTAAACCTAGATTAGGATTAGATGGAGCATTTTGATTTTGTACTGATGATAGACCTGTAGCTGAACCACCACCAGGAGCATCAGGAAGCACATGGTGGACGTGAGGATACATTTGAGGCATCATAGGATGAGTACCAGTATGAGATGAAGAATTAGCACCGATTTCAGAAACTGAATCTACTTCGTCTAAATTAAGATGAGACAACGCTGGAGAAAAAAGTGAAAAAGTTAAATATTATTAAACTCAGTTATTGAAAGATGTTTATAAATAGGAATATTCAAGCAGGCAAACAAACTTACTTGCGGCTATATCTCCAAAAGTATAGTAACATTGTTCGGAAAATGTACTCTTATTAACGGTATGACAAATATAACCATAATGCAGTAGGTTGGATGCATACCTCCGAGCATCTCGCCGATCTGCAAAACCATCTACATGTGTGAATAACCAATCAACTAATTCAGAGCCTATAAAGTAATGAAAACAGTAGGTAAATGAAAATGGTGCAAAAACTAAGAAAAAAGTTAGGTATTTGTAAACTCAGTATTTCTAACAACGAAGTTTTTATTGGCTCGACCACATAACAAAAACTGAAAGAAATCACTGATAGTCAAACTTCAAGAATTATGGAAATTTCAACATGAAAACCGTTTATCGAAAACGAGTACCAATTATGCGAAGAAAAAAAAAGGAAAGTGCTTGAGGTTTTATATTTCGGTATGACATAAAATGCCAAATTCACAGTAAAACAAGGCAGGATGTAACTAGAGAACTAAACGCAGTTTGTGCCCACTCACCAATTTTCCGAAAAAAAACGAGCGCAGTAATCACAGAAACATCTTAAATTAGCATCAAATAACATTTTCTAGGTGATCAATTTAGGTGACACATTTTAAGAAATTGTTTACATTAAATGTGACTGGTGAAGATATATTTAGTCTATCAAACCAGTCAGTCAGTCATAACCAGAGAAAAACCAGGCACATATGTACGTTGGTTCAAGTTAGTATATCATAGCAGCATAGCAAAATGCAATCACCAAGATAAATATCAAAATATTAGAAGTGGTAACAATATCAGTAATATTAAAGAACATTAGGGATAGACAATATGATTTAAGAAGAAAGAATTTGTGGAATAGAAATTTGAAAATCCTTTTAGGACTCAAGATCTTAAGGAAGACTAAGAGTGACCGCATCTGCCCCACAGCAACAGATTATGAGCCATTGTATCATTCAACATCATTAATCACTGATTATAATAATCGCGCGAATCCTAATCAAGTAGTCTGGACCAAACAACACATATTGGATATCTTATTACCACATTATTAAGTTTCGTTTTATTTTATTATGTTATTTGTTGACTCTCTTTTAATTGTAACATAAAGAAACATGACAACATGAAATGGCAAACCATTACTATCGCTTCTGAATAAAGCTTTACAATGGTACCCCCGATTACTGAGTTAGAGAAATCAGTCAATATAAAAGCTCAAATAAAAATAGTTTGTTTTTCTTAGGAATTAAAAAAGGAAAAAGTCGTATCGAATTAATCTAGTATGACAATCATTTTAGAAACAGTAACACAGTAAAAAGTTAATATGAATATATATTTATCAATCGATTAAGGTCTTCATAAAATGTAATAACAATATACAAAAAGAGTGAAGCACAAAACACAGCAGGTTATCATCAACAATATCATCATTCAATTGGATTGTATAACAAAAATAAAGACAAATGTGACTGGGAAGTATAAACGTGAGAAAGTGCAGCAAACAAAGAAGAAACTATATTTGGAAGATAATAATAGTAATAATAACAACGACAAAAGATGATTGTCAATCAACCCGGTGTACTACAGCTAATACTGGTAACGATAGAATAATAATATTAATGTCAGTTTATTAATGTGTAAGAAAAACGAATGTAAAATAGGTAAGCTCATTAAACAACGTCATTAGTACTACACTGATCTTTGCAGTGAAATATAATGAACGATACATATATCTACAGAGATATCAAGCACGTTGAACTATACTGTTTAAAACGTTTATTATATTATGTTATAGAAGTTGGAAGAGAAATAAAAAAACTCGTTCATTTTAGTTACAAGTTGTCAAACGGTCAATTGAAAAGGAAACAAAATTCCATAATCAAAGAAATAAGGAAATACATGAAAAAGTATATAGACGTATTATGTAATATGATAATCATGTACGTTATTATTCATAATGGTGAGAATGTGAACATTGACTGGAAGCATTTATATTTTTGTTTTCAACAATTTCAAATTTCGACAGGTAACGACAACTTTTTGAACTTATATAATAGATGATGCAAAATATTTTTGGACGAAAACAAAAACAGTTGCTCTTTGGATACAAATAAAACAACACAAGAGTTGTAAAGAAAAAGTAAAAAATAAACAATGCTAAAATAGAATGAAGCGTTAAGATATTATTATGATGTCAAAAGTAGTAAACGTTAACTTTCTTTTAAAAGAGTGAAGAAAAATGATGTAATACTGTATTAATTATGAAAATTGTAGTAATAATGAAGTGAAATTATTCAAAATATTATTTTTCTCATACAGAAGATACTGTGTTAAATTATAAACAAGGAATTAGCATATTTGAATTGGGGTCTATGATTGTTTTAAAAAAATATTACCTAAAAATTAATGTTACCAATATAGGAAATAATTAATTGTAATAATTGCTAGATAAAGGGTATCATGTAAATGTGTTAGGTTTCTTGATGGAGCTATGAATCTTTAATCAATGGGATATAGTAAGCACTTGTGTGTTATGCATTGTTACCGACTAAATCAGTGAGTTTTGTGAGATGTTTAACAGTGGCTTTCTTACACTTGAGCTCCAAATGATTGAGAGGTGGGAAGTATGAGAAGTTTGGCTTCAGTTTAGTTTACATGCAGAAAACAAGGATGTTTATAAATGTTTTTGAAATTTTGAAAATTTCTAGAAACCACTGAATTTAGTTTTATAATAGATATTGATCTAGTAAGAGTGTGACATAATATCTTTTATCTAGGGGTCTCTTATAAGGTCCCACTGAACGCTGGTCGAATGATACAGTTTTCAGAATTTCCCTGGTTTCTAAAGACTTTCCCTACAGATTCTCGAGGACTTTCAACACTTTATTGGCTGACGTAAGATTGTGTTAGAAGAACATCGAAGAGTTTATAATACTAAAAGGTTACGATACTAAGCTTTGAACGACAACACTGAAGGCTGACAGTAGTGGTGAAAATCAATTCATTCTTTGAACACCACATATTCGAATATCTTTAGATGTAACCTCTTATTTTCTTTTACTTTTTTTCCTGCAGTTTGTATAACAATTTTAGAAATGTTGTGGTGATAATCCAAACCCTTTCAACTTCAAAGAATACAGACTTTATATGCTAGATTTTATGTTTGCTTCTTCCATATCATAAAGGTTGAGTGAAAATTAGCTTTTATATTACTACATCCCTGAAAGTATGTTTACTATTTACAGATATCCTTTATGTGTATATATATCAATATACTTATGTTTTTCCTGAGTAACATTTTGACACCAAAGTTAAATTTTTATACGGAAGTTATAACGAGTCGAGCTTCTTTTCGCCACTTGATACACATTAATTAACTAGCATGTAATTTATGATATTATAATATTTATGTCAAAAACGTGTTGAATTGGATTTCGATGGGGCAGGGGGACTATGAAAAATGAACAAAAGTGAGCAAGTTTTCTAGAAACTTCACATTTATGTTAATCCCTAGCGAAAAAAAACATGTTAACCGTAGACTTAATAAACAATTAGAGTAATCGATAACTAATACATATCTGAAGAATTATTAACGAAAAACTCCACATTAGAAATGTGAACGATTCGCCCAATAAATATATTGATATGTAATACTTGAAAAACGATTCTAAACCATTATTACTCTCCTTAAATTTATAATAATCAAGAATATCTACAAGCGAGACAATTTATATTTCTGGATGAAAAGTAAAAAGGAGAAACAAAATATTAATACTGACTACATGAACACAATGATTGATTTTATCGAAAAAACGAAATACAACAAATTAAAAATTCAAAAAATACTTTTTTTCGACTGGATATTATTAGTCTTTAATCAAATAGGGGCGGGAGGGCGTATACTTTCGTTTATTTGTGTTCTCTGTTTCTACTAGATTAGACAGATTAGTGCATTAGATGATAATAATAATAATAATTATATATATTTTTGGTCCTTAAAAGTAACGCTTTAGTAGACAAGTTTCAATCAATTCTGTATAACTGACATATATATATATATATATATATATATATATATATATATATATATATATACTTTTGTAGTAAACTGGCAAAGTAGGTTATAAATAAGAGGGAGTTAGTGAAGGATTTGATTTAACAACTTTACGAAATAAATAAATAAAAATTACTCATTTTCATTTATAAGTGTCGATGAAAATAATGTGAAAAAAGAGACGTGAGTACTTTTAAGACAGGTTTGAAACAACTTTATCTACACGTATCTGATAAAAACTTTTCCAAAATCTCACTATTTCGGACACAAAACTTTTAAATAAGTCACTAAATATTGGCTCAGCGTTCGTCCAGAGACCTGAAGGCCTTGGTCCGGGGCGTGACTATGAGTATGCGCTATTAAGGAGTCCCGTACTAGAAGCTGTCCGGTGCTCCTTGGTTTTCATTGCCACTCCAACTGAGATAAATCTGTGACGAATACTTAACAGTCAACTATGGAATTTCTAACTAGATCAAACAATCTTAATATTGGTTTGATGTATTAATGTGAAATAGGTTCCAGCATATAAGTAAAAAAATATAGGGAGAAACGTACACGACTGAAGGTTCTATTTTCAAATTGTCTAGTTATTTCCTGCAAACAAACATCCATGCGGGGTGCGATTAAAAGTTTATATTAACCATTTATACATACAGTTTCATTTTTACTGAAATATATTACCTCAGGTTAAGGGTCATGAAAAATAGAAAAACACAGGTGATTTTGAATACAAATGAGACACCAAAAAATTTCCCAATATCCACAAACTTTGCAAGTATTGATTGGTAGACAAATAAATCTATGTAATACAAGTGTACACAAGTCACAAATAAGTGAATGGAACTCACCAATAAAAGCATTTGGGATGGTTATTTTCAGCCACGTTCGATCACGTATTTCTAGACCAGAATCAGACATCAACATATCATGAACTACAGAAGCCATATCAGAAGCTACAGTTAATGATGTGGATGATTTGCCATTCGCACCAGACAGAAGTGACTGAGTACCTTTAGCATCGACAGTTGTCTCACCTCCTGATCGGGAACCGTTAGTTTTCGTACTTCCTGGCCCACCAACAACTCCACTACTTGCAGGACCTCTACTGCGATGATACCCACCAGTTAAACCATCACCATCAGCAACTTCTGGTAATGATTTAGTAGTCATATTAGATGAAGGTATTGCATTGATTCCAGCCATTGAAGGTGGTAAAATTAAAGGAGGCATACCAGGAGGCATAGATGGTACGGACAATCCAGAGGATGGAGTCATACCCATAAAATGGCCTAAAAGGTAAATGAATAGATTAAAACATGAGAACTCGAACATAAACACCTACCATAGAAATATAGACCAGTAATTAATAAACTGAGGAATGAGATGGTGGTTTGCAGCTCAGCAGAGGAATTTTAGTGATGCCGTGTCGGTTTGATCGCGAAGCTTTAGATGTCTTTTTAAGCAACAGCTATTACATTTCCAAGACTAGTAGGTAATAATTTGATTTATCGATATAGAATATATAATGTCGTCGCCAATAATCATTTCATTAGTGTGACCGCATAGATTATGATTTTTTTAATTGAGATCATGAACCGGTCAACGTTAGACCACCACTGAAAGCACTGGACGGATGTTTCGTTCTAGTATGGGACTCCTCGGTAGTGCGCATCCTCGATCCCGCACGCGGGATTTGAACCCAGGACCTTTGGTTTTGCACGCAAACGCCCAACCTCTAGACAACTGAGCCAACATCCAACGGTGTTTATGTCTAACTCCAACCAATCCACGAAATTGCGAGACCATCTTCCATTTTCTGAGGACGATACTAATTTCTACTTGGCTTTTTTATCCACGATTTTGAGGTTGGTCACCAACTCTCTCACTAGTTGAGGTTCGGGTCCGATTGCTGGAGATACTGTATGCACAGATTCAACATATGAGAACGAAATGCAACCATAATTTCGTATATCTATTTAAGGTGATTTTTATTCAGTGAATTTTAACTCATTTCTGCAATTTTGATACACTGAGTTTCAGTGCAATATTGGTTTTATTTAGTTGTTTGACTCCCAATCAATTTTTCCTGTACTGATTATTTTACTACGATTTTTTTTATTTAGTAACAATTACTCAGTTAATAAAACTCTCCAATTGATAATCATCGGAATGATGTATAGCTCGATCAGCTTGGATGTAGATTCGATCTTCTTTGACATTGTCCGACAAATCTTTCTAACAAGAATGGTATTTTGAAGTAGAGGTATTGTGTATGGCAGTTGCAGTTATCGCCGTATAGCCTATATCCGTATCCCTAACTAAAAAATTCATCGCCTTCAGAGTGACTTGATAAAAGATTAAATTGCACAAAATCAAAAGAACGGGATTTACTTTCTTGTGTACCAAATCTAAACCGATTCGTGAAAACACAAAATAATCACTGAAACAAAATACTGCTAATGCAAAACAAAGTAAGGGAACACTTCTCACCAGGAATCATTGCCATTCCAGCAGCAGGTGATCCTGAACCAAAAAAAGGTGTATTTCCATCAAATCCGGGTGTTCCAAGTGCTCCAGTCATCGCATTTGTATGTAAGACCCAAGCCCGAGGATCAATTGGGCGAACTGGTTCTTGACGAGGAATTGTGAAGTAGTTCTTTGGACTGGGATCCCAACATTTTGCCACCACTAAAGTGATAGGACTGTGAAGTAAAAATTAAAGTAATATATTTTAATTTTTTTAGTTGTAAACAGGAGGTACTTAAGAATTTTATTCACATAAATAGATCAGATTTCTGAAAACACCGCCAGAAGGTAGCTAAAAAAGAATACTAAAGTTATGTGTATGAAAATAGCTTAAAATTGTTTGACAAAGTGTAGAAGCATATGGATACATGGGGAGACTGTGTACTTCAGGTGATTGCTTTGGGTAGTATTAAGCTCTCTGAGCAAACCTTTTTAATTGTAGAGCTTTCAGTGTTGTTCTAGACAGCTTATTAACTGATCAGAGAACTCAAAACTACTAAAAACAAAAGAATTTAACACACTTCAATAGCTCATAATCAGTTTCCAAAGTTTATTGTGTAACACTTAGAAGAGAAATTTAAGAGTGCTAGATTCTTCAGTAAAATATATGATCCTTGTTTATTCATTTCTTACTTAGGTACGAAAAACGTTGCTCAAGGAAAGCTTATAAATATTTACTATGGTAAAATGCAGGTAGGAGAATTTCCAAAGCTTTAAAAAGGGAAACATTCTGTATTCTGTAGATGCGTTTACATATAAAAATTTAAAGAAAAGACGTTTAATATTTTAAGATTCGTTTAACATTATTATAGTAAATGAATACCCTCAGATTAAGTAGTTCTTCTATATTCGAAATAACGAGTAATTTTGTTCATTAGTTTTACGTAGCGTAGCAGATATTCAACAGGTTTGAAACAATAACATCCAAGAAACATAGTGGAAACCTGATCATGATAAATCAAGTTTAGAATCAACAAGTGAGATTTAAAAATAAATAAGTGTGAAATGACTCTAAGCTTAATATTTTGAAGATAAAACATGATTGAAAATGGCGGACCGTAACCGGTTTTAGGCTATATGACCTAAGGTTCCCAACCACAGGTTACGACAATTTTGTGAATTACAAGCATATATTTTGCCTTCCTCTCCCACATAGCCTGGATCGATGGTCGTAGACCTAATGAGTCGATGTCATGTTATTTTCTCTTGACTACTTTCTTTCTTCCAAGCTACGAATATCTACAACACCTTGTAAACAAACCAGTCGGTACAGGCTTACAACCTTATCAACTGACTTGTCATTTTGGATAAATTTTACCAATAAATACAATTCTTAATGGAAGGATGACCCCGATATAGAAAAAAAAGAATTGGAATACATATAAATAAACAGTATGTTCATAAAATCTAAAGATGATTAAGCTCTGTCTTTTTTAATTAGCTTTAAGATTATATATAACATCATATTTCTTTCATTAAACACTGAATATTTCCACTTTCATCCATGAATTCATCAGTCTCAACGCAATTCTGATATAGAGTAAATACTTATGTATTTAGCCTTAACGTATTGGGAAGCTTCCTTATAACTTACTAGGCTACCTAAAATAAAACAAAAGTGAAGATTAGGATGCGTAACCTATATAGAATAAAAGTAAATTGACCAAACTATTGTACCTGTGAAGTATATACATTTGGTGCAAACTATAAGTTCACAGTTTCGTGCAAACGGTTAGAACCTAAATACGAATCAATCTTACGACTGATTTTATTACGTAGTAATTAATAATAACAACAAATAAAAAAGTAAAGTTATCATTGTTATCTGAAGGAAATAAATTAATAATTACGCAATCGTGTTGTATGCTTCAACACCCATTACCACGACGCGCAATGCTGACTAGTGTTGGGGGGTTTAGGAAGAAAGTTAGGGGTGGCCAAACCAAAACGTGGAATCAGTGCTTGAAGTCACTAACTTCTGGTCTGAGCCATGTTGGTAGATGCAGACTACTTGGTTGGGTTCCGCATGACTATCGTATCTAATGATTGGAGACTCTTGGTGACATGGCTCATAACCGATCACAATGGCGTAGGTGTATACACTCTTTGTATTCCCTTACACTGTGAGATTAAAATTACTATATACCTTTCTTTCTACAAACTAATTATTTCTTTTTGTATTATATCCTTATATGCATTCGTTGTTTTATATCACTACCATTGAAGTAACTACTGTGAATTTGGTGTTCATCTTTTTGTGCTAATGAGGTGTGGCAACTTGGACCGATGCATATATGTGTCTGGTCCTACGTTGTAGCTGACTGGCTGACTAAACCTTGTTGTTAAATGGGACTTTTGTTTGAGCTACAGTAACTATTAATATACAGGTTTTGTGGAAATATTAAAATTTTCATAGTTCACAACATTATAAACTGATTTTAATCGGACAATCATTTTGAAACCAGTAACATTATCAAATATATTTGATTGCTAAGATTAAAAGGTTGTTTATCTTAATATCAGTAACTTAACTACTCAATTATTCAACTGTCATAAATAATATTAAAGGTCTGAACATAAAAAGTATCGACTTAAAAAATGTTTCTAATTTTTATGTTATACATAACTTGAGATGGATATATATGGGAAAAGTGTATAGAATAAATTCGTCTATGTTTTACTGTAACAAACTGGATTTTTTTTCAACGGCTTGATTCCTCAAGCACTTAACAAATAAAAACACAATAGTACTGGGATAATGGTATAATTTTATACTTTGTCATACCGGAAGACACACCAATATCATGGTTGGTAAGTGTTCCTGTTATGTGCTAATTTAATCCATAACTAACCATTGAATTCAATGGCTTAGTGATTTATGAATTATTTGGAATTCAACCGCTGAGTTGCAGCTTCGAGTCCCCCCTACATATTCCCATTTGATCAACTGAGTAATAGTGTGATGTGTGCTACTTATGTCTACATAAGTAGTATATAACGCTAGTCAGAAATAGAATGTTTGGCAGCAGAGGGTTAAGAATATCGAGGAGGGAAGAACGGGAACAGAAAGCAATTGGTATGGAAATGCAGGGACAATGAAGTCTGAGACAATTAATGAACATTCTACAAATAAATTATTGGAGTTTGGTTTTTCTATTTTATCAAGTTGCTCTGTAATTTTGTGCTAAATATAGACGGTTGTCCTCATTTGTGTTCTCCTTCCCCCACAATATTACTAGATATCGCACAAAGGCAAATATATGATCCTTGATTATTGAATTACAAGAAAGAATTTCATTAGAGTTGTTTTTGCGATCACAAAACGTCGAGGATTTAAGATTTATTATTGTTTATAATTAAACTGGCAAATCATATATTGGTTTGAACGCCCACCATTCTTGTGGCCTATCCTGATTTAACTATTAATCAATGGAAACTGTACTCTTCTTCTAAATATGACTGTTACTCATAATCACTCATCAATATGCACTTATTGTTCATTGATTTAGATTATTGTCTCTTTCTGATGAAACTATATTTCACATTTTTATAGTAATCAAAGTTAAATTTTAGAAAAATCTAATGTATTAAGGAGAACATTTTACGTGTCCTAACTAGTTAGGCTCAAACTATGATTCAATAGTATTAACAGTATCATGTTTGAAAAACATATATATATAGTCGAAGTAAATTACACAGTAGGTACAGAATAAATACAGTGTCTGAAGGAATAGAAGAAAACCTTGTATGCAAACGTGAACTGATCACCATTATTTGTGTATGAGTGGTTAGTTAAAGCTAACACAACAACTGGACTGCTACACAGGACAAAAAAGACGTAAAACGTAAATTATATGAATCACTTATATAAAGTAAACTTTGATCGATCAGTTGAAGTTTCCTTCTATGAATGCAAAACGCCGATACCACTTGGTCAAGATGAAATTTAACTTGACTGACAGGTTTAGAGCTAATTCACTATATTCAGCGTGGTACTAATGACAGAAAAAACGATTACGCTATATTACCAATTTCCTGAACATTGACATAAAATGCTACTTGGCTTTTTGTGGTGTTATATCTTGAGATTGAAGTTTGATATGGTCCAATGGTGATCGTTAAAATCGAGTTTATTCTACTACGAATAGATTCTATGGCGGACTCCATAGAATGACAGCTGATACACCGTACTTCAACAATAATCCACGATTACGAAGGAACACAGGAAGGTGAAAGTACCGGAAAACGTGATGGTTAAGCGAACAAAATAGCGAAATTCCGCATATATAGGATAACAAAAGCATGACCCTAGAGTATACTGAAAGTAGTAACAGCCAATCAAAAAAACGAAAGTATGATTTAGAAAAATTGTACTCGTAGTTATCGTTATCACAAAGAAATTTTCATGCACTGACAAAATGGATAACCTATGATTTTCTTAGCAAGTGGTTAATCACGAAATATCAGTTTATGATGCAAAAAACTTTAACTCCTACAAGAAAACTATGCTGGTCATTCATTGTTGTGGTATTTGCCTTATTATGATTCTCTTGAAGTTTACTTTTAAACGTTTGGTGAGAAAATAAGTATAAATAATAGATAACTGCACAAATAGTAAATATGCCGTGAATTACCCAGGCTTTTGAACTTCCTCACGTAAGACTCTTACAGCCTCATCATTACTCATATCTTCGAAGCTGATTCTATTTACTTCTAGTATCATATCTCCAGGTTCTATTCGACCATCTTGTGCAACAGCTCCACCACGCATAATAGATCCTACGTAGATACCACCATCTCCTGCTTTGTTGGATTGACCAACAATACTGATTCCAAGAAAATTCACTGAATCCATATTCAAAGTGACGGTAATTATATTGAGAGACATTGTGGAATCGGTTACACTGCTAAAAGAAGTAGCCTAAATTGAATGAAAAGAAAAAATATGTAACCGAGCTTCGTGAAATTGATCCTCATAATATCTAGGGAAAAAACGACAATAGATGGGAATTAAATCAAATTAATTATAAACGCACAATAAATAAACATGTTGAACATAATTCTCAGATTATGATGGGCATGATCGACTGAAATTAACCCTTGGCATGTGAGTAATATAAGTATACAGGATAATTATTAAAATGTTGTACAACTACATTTAACGAACAAGTAACAGAAGAAAATCTTAAAATATTTCCTAAACAAGATGGAGAAACCAAAGCATTGAAGTATATATATGAATGAATGAATGAGTGCACAAATATCTCTCGATTTGGTTAAGCCAGTAGAGTTTCCTTCTCGTTTAAGTAACCAGTTGGAGTTGTGTATTGAAAGCTTCTATATGAGTATCCGAATCAGATAACGCACAACACAACACCCGTAACTGCATGTAGCTTTCCTTTCTGGATTTCCTAGACTGACCAATGTAATCCATAAACACTCCTGAATTATCATTTCATCATTTTTACAGCTAAGGTATGTCATTTTACTGAATTACTCTAGAAAATCTATATTTCAAATACTGTGTACCCGGTGAAAACAGGAAACCGAATTTAGTTTACTCAGCAAATCTAGTTATTCTCTTTCCAGTAGAAAAAAACAGATAGATGTGACCAAATATTTTGACTCTCTGGTTCTCTATTTAAAACAGTTGACATCACGATAGGATAAAATTCTATCCATAAATCAGCATAGAAAAAACGTCTAGACAGCTTCCCCAAAGGAAAAAAATGTAGAACTAGACGTAAATGATACAAATCTGGTAACATTAATCACCCGGAAGCTGGATATATTACGTGATAGAGCAGACATAAATAATGAAAATGTGAAGCCTCAAACATTTTTTCAGTCTGTCATTTCTGGGTTGATACATTCTGAGTTGTTTGAATACTTAAAATAATATGTTTATTATACATAAAAATGTCAGCGATTCTAAAGTAATGATCGATCATACTATGACAACTACTACTCATACCATATGGATATGGGGAAAAGCAATAAATAACTATGCTAAAACTACAACTCAAAAAAATTTTAAGTCTCATAGTTTTTACTAAGTCCTCTAGGATATTACTCATCGAAATAAAAAGATAAGACATTTATAGACATAAGACATTCAGATTATAGTTTATATTCTAATACTAGACACTTAACGGTCCATGCCATTTTAGTGCAAGTAACAAATATGGTATTTGTTACCTACAAGCTTCAATCGATTGCACTTTTACAAATATGAGTCATTATTTACGAAAAAGTATCCAGTTTTACTTGACTATGATTTTCGTACAACCGAATAAACTGCTTACAAAAGTATCCGCCACAATTTTTAAAGCGAAAAATGAGCAACATGTAAACTATTTCTGAGGGTATTTAATACAAACCGTTACTTGAATAGCTTAAAGTACAAAACACTCAACGTTTTTTTTGTTAAATCCTAAATTATTTCATCCCAAGTAGAATTATCATCAGTAAACAGTTGGCAACTAACAAGAAATAATTGAATTCACGAGTTAATCTAAGCTAGACCACCAAAGGAAACCTGGAAGCACTGGAAGGCCCTTTTAACCTGGTATAAGACTCTTCACTAGTGCACATCCACGATCGCGCACGTGGATTTCGAACCCAGGATCTTCGGTCGTCCAGTGCTTCCAGGTTTTCAATGGTGGTCTGGTCCAGATCGACTCGTAAATTCAACCGTTAAAATACCACAATCTCCACAAATTCCCATACTAACAACAAGAAATATACATCGAGAACTTTTAAAAGTATATTTTTAAAAATATTTCTATATTCAGCATATAAGAGTTCTATCGAAATGATTAAAAATCGTGCACTGTCATTTAAAAAATCAGAAAAAAGGAAACTCTATTCTTTCACTTGATAATCAGCCTAGTGTGTATGTGCGAAGGCCCAGTCAATTATACGCGACTGTGAAGTTGATATTTCCGTTGCTATTATGTTCATTATTAGAGATCACAATTTTTAGCGTAAAATAATTATTCAGTAATTCGTTTACTTAATTTTTAAAAAATAAAAACATTATTTTGTAATTCTATAGGAAGCAAGCCGAAACAAGACGCCAAATTAAAGACTGAGATTGATAGAGGAGTGTATGCATAGAACTCGTTCATGTGGACACACAACAGCTACAGTACAGTTGAATAGAGACTGTAGAGGTTTTTTCATTTCAAGCTATTTTACATTATTACTGGTTATATGTTAAAGTTTGAAAGAATACACAGTCTTATTCGGATAAAGATAAATGCTGATATATAGTAAAAATGTATGTAGAAGAGTGAAGAAACTTGATTTTTAACTAGTATACTTGAGGGAAAATTATTTATTGGAGCATTTTTTTGGAAACCCAGGAAATATAATGGGAGTGACACTCGCGCTAAACATAAATCCTAGCATAAGTTAAATCGGAAGATAGACTTCATGACTTAGATATATGTTAAATGGTATATTAGTATTCATAAGAGTGGTTAGCTTGAGTTGAGTTGTAACATCTTCGTTTTAAATTTACTGTACACAATCACTGTTTTTTTAAATTTCATCTTTCATTATAATTTCTATTTACCAATAGTAATGATTTAATGTACATGAAATATACCTTAATTGAAGTCACTTTAGTCAAGATACAAGAGAAAAATGCTTTTAGTGTGTTAAAACCTTTCAAATCTGTCTGTATTGTATATACATTTATATATAAATGGAACACTAAGATTATTGATCAAAAATAGAAAATGTCAGAATGCAAATGAATGACATATTTACATATTATTGAAATGTCAGTAGTAGACGATGGATCTACATAAAAATAGGTTTCGACAATAGGAAAAAAAACAAATTCTATGACAATTTTTAAAAAATTTCTGATCAGTGAAAAATAAAACTGTAGAATACAGCAGAGATACAAGAGAAAAATGCATGTAGAAATGAGATAAATATTTTTGGAATGACAGAGATGACAGCCAATCTATAAACATACATTCATTCATCAGATAGAAAAAAAATTGAATATGATAATGATGATGATGGTAAACAATTTTCTGCATATGTATTGCATGGCAAATTAATTAACTATCAATTAACGTTAGAAGACTTTATGATATCAATACCACTCTGTTATTGATTGATTTTGTTATACAATGAAATGTGAAAACGTAAAGGGTTTGGAAGAGAATGATTACGATGATTGTCACTGACATACAGAAACTGTAGATAGTTTTAAGATATTAATCACATGAATCGACAGATTGTCAAAATCAATTTAAGCTCATTATTTACCTGCATTTTTGGTAATATAGAGATACCTATATCAGCCTCACTTGCGATAATTCTAATTTTTCTTATTTTCGTATTTACGTACTAATAGTTAATGTACTTGAGTCTCATTCAATGAATATTTTCAAGTAAGCTTCAACTAAGTAGTGTATACGGTTGTAAAAGGGAATAAACTAGACCAATAAACAAAGAGTAGTTAGTTTTCAATGATACAATTATTAAACATTTTGTTTACCTTAAAAAGGTACTACTTACTGAATGGCGTGAGTAAAAAGTACCTTAGGTTAATCAAAAAAATCTAGCAATAATTTAATGAACAGTGTTGTTTTTCAGGTTATAAAGACTGGTACGTTCGGTGTAAAGGTAAAACTGAAGTGAGGAAATTGTTATTTTGTTTCTATACAGTTCAAATATAAACTTGCGATGATAAAACTATGGAACTTACATCTTCACTGGTACGTCTTATTGGAAGAATTCGTCTGTGTCTTCGTTGTCTTCTATGTCTTGGATATTTAGCCGAAGACATAGTTGTACCTGTTGCTGTTGAAAATCTACACAGAAAAGTTAAAAAAAGCAAAAACGAAAACTTAAAATATGACAAAACTGACACTGATAAATCACTAAACAATACAAGTATTGCGCTACAATTACCAAATACATTCGGAAACATTTTTAAATAACACTTCTCGTAAGCCGTTAATTTTAAATTGAAAAATTAATGAAGAATATTTGTAGCTTATAATATTAATGTCTTGATAATACCACTTTTAGAATTAATATTATAAAGGGTGGAAATTTCAATGATTTACATTATAGTCATATTCAAACTATCGAACCTACATCAAAGGATAGTAAGATCACTGGTGTTGAGAGGAGGCAGGTAAGGAAAGAACAGCCACTTTGAACAGAACAAGAAACGACAAAAAAGGACAAGAATTAATGAATTATGAACTTATTGGTGAATTAGGCAGAAATCTAGCCAAACGTCAAAATAGTCAGATTTAAACTGAATCGAGGAAATTAAAAGTTAGTTAAAACAAAAATTGGTGTATTGAAGAAAAGTGGGGTAAATCTAGCAAGGCATCACGGTCAAATATTGAATGGGAAACATATTTCGCCGCGTCAAATAATAGCATAGACGGAGATGTTACAATTCAAATTATCGAAAGAATCGTGTGCAACTCTCAAGATACACAGTTGTTGATAATAATTCATACAGTCAATTAAAAGATTTTGCTTTGGTAACAGAATACCTCAAATAAACGATGACAGTAAAAATATATCATGTAATGTAGCTGCCTTTTTGAACACTATGAGATTCATAATATAGCCAAAGAAAAAACGGGTAGTCTGAACGACAATCATGATGTTCAGAAACATACGAAATTTAAGAGAACTAAGCAGTTTTTGATTTGAAAATGAAGGATAAACGAAATACTATGGGTATGTCAGTAACAGAACAACTGATGTGTATCAACTTGATTTTAAATGGTTTAGATTATCCTCTTTTGATATTTTTTGACTGAAATTTGACCATCTGAAAAGTCTCAAGTAGAACGAAACAGGCGTTTTGGATTCCACGCCTAGCCACATTTCGTCCGTTCTATATAATATTGATTTGAGTGCTACAATTCATAATAAATGCAAGTACTGAACCTAAACTTTGATCTAAATATGTCAGCCATACTTTTTAAACTCAATTAAATGCACAGAAGTAGAGTACTATGATGTGATGGCGTTCTTAAATCTCTTTTCTAACAAAACACATGATGAAAACTTATGAACTTCAGTACATACAAAGATGAAGCATGACAGACCATAACTGAGGCACAATAGTAACAACTCAATAGCTTATAAAAATGTCATGTAAGGCTTGTATGGTCACTTTGATTGAGTTAAATGAACCACATTAATGAAATATTCATGGTTAACGAGTATTCCAGTTAGCCCTATCATTTAATTACCGACAGAAAAAGCAAAAGTCACGTTAACATCCGAAAAACCATCATTTATTTAACATATCAAGAACATCTAGAATAATTCAATTAGCTCCTAGCAGATTTTATATGAAAGTAATAAAAAAAGTGAGACAGCTAGAAGATATACCCAAAAAAACAAAAGTTACAATGATGCAGGTAAGAAAAATAAATATATATTACAAAACCAACAGTAAGTCAGCTGCACCATCAGTCCGATTAACCGAGTTGTCGGATACATCGATGAGCTTTTGAGTTAGCAGTCAACTAGCGTCACTGATCTGAATGTACATAGCGCTTTATAATCGCCATTTCTATGGGGGATGATATAAAAAACATAACAAGAGGATTCGAAAAACCGCAAATCCTTAAAAACCATAGTATTTAGATGAGATGCCTTTCAAAAGATACATAGTTGTGGAATATGTACGCCGCTTAAAAAATCCCACCTACTGAATAGAGGTAAGGATTGTTTGACCCAGTAAACTGCCATTATATAAATGACAGACTAACCATTACCACTAACGAGACCTATTTCCCCTGTATAAAACAACGAAAATCAAGGTCAAACAAACCAACAAATAAAAAGGATCTCAATTGCACAAACCTGTACCCAGTAATGAAGGAAGATTTCACACATATATTTACAAAAACTAGATGGAATCCAAACAACCGGAAAACTCAAAGAATGATGAACGACAACAATCTTCATCTTGAGTTCAGAACTTTCACTACATTAAATGTATCTTTCGAAAGTGACTGCTATTATGTATAATAATAAGACTAGCCAGGAGTTTGATGCTTGTTCAGGAACCTAAGCCGAAGTAATTTCCCAGAAAATGTTTTCCAACCGTAACGCAAAGGTGTATTTAGTGCTTAGTTGGAGATCTAGTGAAGTTGTTTCTATTTGTGAAAAAACCTAACCCCTTTTAAATTAAGCTGACATACCTGCTTGATTCGTCTTCTGAATCGAAAAAGCTTGTGGATTCCAGATCTGAACTCATCATGGATGAAGATGTTTCATAGTTTTGGATTCTTTGACCAAGTTTAGCCAAGCGCGAACCTGAGAAGAAACGAAGTTTTCAGAAATAAAGCATTGTCTCAGGGATACCAAATATCACAACAGATTTATAAAGCTTTCAAGTTTATGAATATGTATATAACTGGAATGAGATTATGCTCAACAATTATACATTTATACAGACTATTAGACGTACTATATCAAAATTACAACAGTTGTGTGACCGGTAAGAAACCTGAGACCTTTTTGAAGTCGCCTAATAATATGTCGACAAGTAAAATAACTCTTTCAACAAAAGTATGTGCGTACTATTTACAGCCAATGATATGAATGAATGTGCAACTTACCATGTGACCACATGTCCATATCTTAGAATTTGGGGAGTCCTATGAGGGCTATATAGGCTATGTGGTTAACTGACCTAAAGACAAAATGACATTAAAACATGAGGCATAATTTCTAACAGTTCTATTCACTCAAATAAGCTATATCCTTGTTTAGACTTAACGTAAGCCAATATCCATGATCCTAGGCATTTTAATGAGTTGCATAAATTTAAGAGAAAATCTGAAGTTTGGCCAACTGAACTAGTTTTAGTGATCAGTAGGCAAAAACTGGAGTGATGATTCTCATTACTTTGAGATATAAACTTAGTGGCTTACCACTGACTGTTTCCTGTGGGACAAAAAGCGAATTAAGAAGCACTTATATTACAACCTGGGCTAAAATTTTATCGCTTACCATGCTTGTAATTATGAAAATTTTTCAGAGGAGGAACCCGATCTATTAAAAATAAAAGTAAACTTAAGACAGGTTTAAACACATTTACAGGAAATTACCTTTAAAAATTTAATGGACACTTAAGCTTATTGTTAAATTAGATTACAAAACCAACCAGTTCTAAATATCATGAAATATTGAGAACTACCCCTATTAAACATGTAGTAAATTATCAGAAGTCAGGTTTACATAAGAAAGCATGGTTGATTTCAACCTTTACTGTATTTGGAGTTCAAACAGAAGTTCGTACTTCTACTTACTAGATAACAGAAATAAATTATGTACTTTTGATAAAATATCACAAGACGTATTTCAAGGAAAACGAAATAAATTTCGGTGTGTCGACGGTTACACATCAGTCCATGTATCACACAGCGCCTTATCCTGGAAGATACATTTGCAATGCATACTGAAATGTACATTTTTCCTTAAGAGTCAACACCATTTTGGCTAGGGCCCGATCGAAAACAGAGGAATAAAGATAAGAAACCTAGCTGAATGGTTTTTGATGTGATACACCTGACCAATAAATTAAGTGATACCAACTTAACGAAAGTCTAGTTGCTAGAACTAATGCAAATAAATATTACAGATGAAATGTCAACAAAATTATAATTAAACAAAACTGGAAATTCTACGTCACTAACCACCGCTATACACTGAGTCTGTCTCGACACAAGTATCACATTCCTCAAGACCATGCCCTGTTGTCCCAATGGCATGTTCTTGTTCACTGGGGATTTCATTTTTCGAGGCACTGTGTATATTGTCGGGAGTTTTGTTGAAGCTGAAATAGAATAATTTCTTTATTATAAGAGATGACATAATGCAAAACATACATTTGTCGAAATACCAAACACTTTTGTATTACCTCAGGTCAATGTAGTAAAACAGCAAAAAATAACTCATATTAAAATAGGTCCTTTGGGCAGTTTAAAATGGAACGCGTTAATGATTTCCTTTTGATTAGCTCACGGTTTACCACTTAGAATATTACGTAGAAAATAGATTAAGGCATGGTCCAAGCCACAAAACGGTAAGTAGAGGAAAGAAAACAATATTAAGACTTGTTAAAAGTCAGTATACATCTTACAGCGACGACTGTAACATATATGAGGTAGGAAAGCTATCTCTATATTTTCCGGGTACCAACGTTAAAAACTTTGTGCACGTGTTTGGTGTGCGACCCAATGAACTACATACTACTCAAACATAAGTGTAAAGTATATTATTTTTTCATATTAAAGAGCAAATGCTACGGGAGTTCTTATAAATTTGATAAAAGCACTTTATTTTCGTCAGTAAAACGTAGTGCTCCCAAGTTTCGGTTCTACAATTTTCGTCAGAATAATTAGCCAAAATGTGTCAAATATAATGATCGCTATCAAAGCAACATTAATTGCCGCATAGATTTATTCCCAGAAAGTTTATATATATATATATATATATATATATATATATATATATATATATATATATATAGCATAGAAAAAAGTCAATATTTCGAGGATTCGTTCTCACCAAAGATAAACATAACAGCTGAACTGTTAGGCTTTGTTGATGGCAAGCTAATTTTTTGTGCAGATAATAAGCATATCAGTGCTGGCAATGCTTATGCTTCGCATACAATGCTCTGATATCAAACTTCCGTACATCAGGAGGGTGATGTATTTGCTGCGACCAAAACCAGTACATAACTACTCCATGATTTAACTATATCTGTTAAATCGAACTACTAAAAGATTCGTTTGATTACTCAATCAACATTAAATTTAAGCCAATCAGTTTACTATTAACATGACGTTTCATCAAATGTCTTGCAACCTCTAGCTGCTAATATACCCTCAAGGCAAAGAGAAACACACAATACGGTCTAACACAAAAAATTCGACCCTCGAGCTTTTCTTCGGCAATTCCCAAAGAACCTTCAAAGTAAAGAGGAGCTAGAACCAGGAGTGTAAGTCTACGAAACTTCGTTCCTTTAATTGAAGGAAGTGAACTCCAATAAGTAAATATCACCTGTTGCTAACAACAAGCATCCCAATTTCCTGATTTCGGGTAAATCTTGAAGGAATGTGGCAAAAACCCCGAAATTTCGAAGTATTCGGGAAAACTCTGCAAGATCTTTGTGGAAAATTAGGGTTCTCATCAATGCTTTTCCAGACTTTCTGGAAAACTACGAATTTTCAAACGACTTTGGGAAAGACAAGAATTCCTCGAAACCCAGAGGTTTGCATGTAGTTTGATGTTTAACTTCACTTTAAACAAAACTCACTTTGTAGAATTTTTATTTTGACTGGAGAGGTGGTTTTCACCTGCGCCGTTTGAATGGTTATCTGATTTTGTACTACTATCTGCAGAAACAAGCTGACAAACATGAAAATATATGACTGTGAATACCCATGAAATAACTTTTCCATTGAAACATGGTAGTCTTGCATCATCATCCGCTATTTCTTCTTTCACGACTCTTTATAAGAAACATAACGATTAGTCTTTACAAGGAACGCACCCGAAATCAGCATCAACTGATTTGAAGAAAAACTTGTAATTTGGTCGGTTTAGAGCATTTTTAAAGTCCCCTAAGGTAACAGCGCTCGGACATACGGCAATTTTAACTAAATAGGGGGTCTCTTCGTCATCTATGTGGTATATAATCTTTGTATCATCCATTTGGAGCAGCTCTTATAGAGACGCATTCATAATAGGACCTGTAATGAAATTTCCCTGTTGGTTGGTTTAAACAACAAAGGTGAAAGAAACTATTCTACACTGGCAATTTAAAAGCATGGGTTCAGGTATTCATTTTATTTTTTCTGTATGCTTTTTATGAGCTTCCTAAATGACTTACTTAAACTGTGTACATTGTTTCACTTTCAGTTTCAGTTTAGAAATGACAAGATGCTTGATGGCCTGTGTTAGTCCTGGCAATGGTCGTCTCTCAGTTGATTCAACTTTATTTTGAAAGAGTTGACGGATGGAGCCTCAACCACGTGCTGAGGTATTGAGTTCCACTCGTTGATGATTCGATGGGAAAGTCGATAGTCAGCTGACAAGTAATTTGTTCTGGGCTTGTGAACTTTTTCGGAGTGTCCTCGTAAATTCTGTTTTGGAAGACAAGAAAAATGGGTGCATATCAGGTGCGAATTTGGCACTAAGCAGTTTGAAAACTGCAATCAAGTCGCCTCTGGTTCTGTGATATGATAACGGGGAAAGGGTCAGCTTAGCCAGTCGAGCTTCATACGGAAGCTTCGCTATTCTGGGAATCAGCTTAGTTGCCGTCCTCTGAGCCTTTTCCAGAAAGTCACTGTCTTTTTTAAGCAGGGGCTAGCCGCTTGCATGCAGTACTCAAGTTTAGGACGTACGAACACTGTATACAAAGTCAAAAACTTCTTAGGGTCGACATGACTAAAAGCCCTACGTATCGACCATAACGTTCTAAAACCTTTGGCGGCCACTCCACAGCAGTGTGCATTAGTCTTTAAGTCTTGTCTAACGATGACCCCTAAGTCATTATATGTCTGGACGACAGGTAGCCCAGTGTTATTCATCGTGTATGTATCTGTACCTTGATGACCGATATGCGTCACAACACACTTGGAAGTATTTATCGGCAACTGCCAGGTTTGAGACCATTCAGATAATTTCTTCAGGTCCTTTTGGGGTTCTAAGCTATCACCCTCACATTGTATCGTTCTCCATATCTTGACATCGTCAGCATATAGCAAGACCGATGATAGGAGACGAGGAAGGTCATTTACATACAAGAGAAATAACATTGGCCCCAAAACTGTACCCTGAGGCACTCCACTAAGCACGGTTCCCCAGCTAGATAACTTTAAGTTTACCCGAACTCTTTGTTGACGCCCAACTAAGAAGTCTTTTATCCACATAAATAGATTGCCTCCAATCCCAACTTTTCTTATATAACAGCCGGTTGTGCGGAACCTTGTCAAAAGTTTTGCTGAAATCAACGAAGGCTACGTCTATAGGTAACTTTTGGTCCTTAAGAGCGCGCCAGCTTTCTCGAGCCACTAATAAGTTAGTGAGACAAGAGCAACCTATTCTGAAACCGTGCTGCTTCTCCGAAAGTATCCGGTTTTTATCGAGATACTTAAACAGCTCCTTCCGAATAATCTTTTTCAAGATCTTAACAACCACACTAGTTAGGCTAACGGGGCGGTAATTCTCAGGTTTGTGCTTCTTACCTGTTTTGAAAACAGGACTTACTATGGCGTTCTCCCAGTCTTTGGATAAACGACCCTGCGCTACGGATAGGTTAAAGCATATACATAAAGGGTTCGCAACTAAGTTAGATAATTCCTTCAGTAGCCTAGGATGTAATTCATCGGGCCCCTTGGATTTACATATATCAAGCTTATTTAGTGGACCAAAGACATCGAGTTCTTTAATGGTCCCGCTATCCAGTGTATGTGTGGGGGATCTGTATGCGCTGACGGGCAGGGTGTTTCTATGGTGTATACATTACTAAAGTAGTTTGAGAACACTTGAGCCTTACCAAAGTCGTCCTCCACTAGTGATGCGGCAGTACGACTTTGGTAAGGCTCAAGTGTAGAATATAATTGAATATTAGATCTAGAAGTCTGTATTTTTCATGGATACTTGCGATATTTGTTTTAAATTATGAATGACTAATTATTACTTAACCAATTCTATTTGCAATACAATAAAATAACATTCGTCCACAGCCCGATAACTGCCTCTGTTCATCAGTCTATTCGTTGCCTGGACAATATGTTTTGTATACATATGGGAATTTCTACTACATATATTACATCAAACACAATTACCTATCATGATATTTCACATTTCTGGCCTGCCTATTGTACTTTTTTAGTTTTCTAGCATGTTTGGAAATATAAAGGAAAATCGTTGGTTGCAAGTAGTCTCAATGATCTGTACAACACACCACATTGTTCCTGCTTCTTTCTCGAAAAATTAGTGTAAAAGTCTGAAAAAGCTGAAATATAGCTTCTTCGGTGGGAGATGAGAACGAATCAACCACTTTTTAGTCATCGTCAAAAAATAGTTTATCATACTGACATAAGGGGGGAAAAGAGCAATGGACCAATTACAGTTCCTTACATAACCCACTGGTTAAATTTGCAGGCTTAGAGTAGCAAGATTCAAAGCGGACGATTTGGCTATGTTCTGCCAAAAAAGACTTGAGCCAATATATTGAGGGATTCCGTATGCCAAATGAAGAAAGTTGTTGAAGAATTTTGTGTGACACTGTCAAACGCTATACTCAAGTCGAAGTACGGAATTATCACTGACTGACTAACATCTCTCCCCTGGGTAATTTGATCGAAAACTTCCAGGTGCGATGTCAAGCATTAGAGTTTATTCATAAACCCGTGTTGGGATGGACTAATCAGACTAGCTGAAAGTAACAATTATGAAAGCTGTTTGTGGATGATTTTTTTCATGGTTCTTGATAGCACGGATGTCAAATTAATTGGCCTATAGTAAACCATATCACCAAGTGATCCTATTTTAAATCTAGGGGCAATAAGAGATGTTTTCCATACAGATGGTTAGGTCCCATATTCCATAAATAGGTTGAACCGTTTTGGACAATATAATGAAAATTCTGTACTTCCATATTTTACAAATGTTGAAGGAATATTGTCAGTTCCACCTTCATAAGACTTTTCCAGGGCAGCTTTGATCTACACACTGATCAGTCTGCATCCTGCTCTGATCTTCCCTCAGTTACACTAAACGTGCACCCTTTACATGGGCAAGACATATTACTACCTTGTATCTCGCTTGTAGATATAAATAAGAGCAGTCACATACCGTTAGAGTCGACATCATTTGTCAGTCCAAACAAAAGCATCACATGTTGTGAGCAGTATTTAGACAGTGCGGCTGACCCCAAAAACCCAACAATCTCACAATCCGCCATCCTGAGTAGCGGCCCACGGAGTACATGTAAGCCTGCCTGCAATAGCCAGCCCGATGATGTAGATCTCGAATTCTCACCCAGACATATACCCCATCCCCCTAACATCACAAAAGGAGGGAGGGTGGAGTTACTGACCAGCAAGCATTGATGGTGAGGGCGATAACTTCAATCCACCTGTGATTGTGGGGGCAGAACATTTTGTATGTATCAGGCTCTTTGTGATTGAGAATAAGTCAATCAATCTGTGATACAGATTGTTTTCCTAAGCTCACCACTCAGACTCACGTTTCCAATATTATGCTGTATTAGCTATTCTACTAAGACAACCTATAACATGCTGACTTGGACGTTTACACTAGGATTGTGTGGCTGGCATCGGATAAACAAAAACAAGGGGAAAAAGTTAGACAACAAAAGATATAGCCATTAGTATTCTTAACACCTCACCCTCTATGTAACAGAAAGAGAACAGTGAAAATCCCTCTGCAGCTTCTTTGTTGAACAGTATTGTCATTTATTTGTTCCTTCTCCCTTTTGTGTATTCCAACCTTTGTTTCGATCTCGTTTAACCATGTCTTTTGTTCTTCAGTCTTCCCCGTTTGAGCCTTTATTATGTGATTTTGATTAAAGACTTATTTTTTGTTACCTAATTTTCTATTGCATGTTGCCGGACCATTGACAGTAAAGTTGTGTTTGACTAAGCTCAAGGTCACGGCGTGGTTCATTTTGTGACTGTTAACCTTCTGACTGTCTGCTTGGGAGAATTGCTGCAATCCCTGCAGATAGATATTTGATCCCATCTTATTGGGAATATTTGTATTGATTCTCAGGTATCAAACCCTTTAGTATTAACTGTCTCTTTCATTGTTTAGCGCGCTACTTTGCGTTAGAGAAACTTCTGACTGTATAGCACAGGCTGTACCGTTTGAGGTATTTTGTATTTTTGATGTAATTTGTTCTGTTTTCTTAATTAGAACCGTTTATATTGAGCACAGAGTTTGTTTTGATATAATATAATACGAGTATCTCAAAGACGCGTTGTGGGCTATACAGAGGAACTTGGTCTGGTCTAATCGAATAAATTTTGGGTTCGTCAGTCCGTTGTTCCAACCGAATATTGGCTGTTCGGTCGTTACACTCTATATACACACCCTTCTAATAAACCGCTTTCCTTGTACCAGCCTTGAATTCCTTTCCTTCATGTGAGCTTACTACAACTCGTTAAACGACACAACTCATTGTTCTTTATTGCTACATTCTCTAATATGGAGCCTCTGACTTCATTTTACTCTAACAAGATATCATCTGAATTTATTCTAATTTATTATACCTCTGTTCCTTCTATTACACAGTGTTAAGCAATGTTTGGCGTTCATATCCAAGTGACTTTCTGCTCTTCTGTTTCTCTTTTTTTCTTCAGAAATTTGCTCTGAGGGCACAGCTATGAAACTTCTGACGTCTGGAACAAACTTGACGTACGTGTCTCCTCAAGATCACGGTTTACAGCAAGCGCCCTACGAGTATACTTTATAACATCTATGAACTTAATAAGTTGAGAAGCATTTTGTGAACCAACAGGTGTTGTAATTTATAGATCATTCCCGTAAAAATGGCGTGTACCTGCGCATGCAGAAATATATTATTATTGTTATTACTTGATGTTGGTGGATGCGAAATCTATTTTGGAAAGATGTATGGATGTCACCATTGGAAATGTATTGGTAGAGGTTTCAGTTCCAGTGCTGTAGCATTGCGAGAAATGCTGGCTGAATTGTTCGCAAATAATATCAGGGTCGTCAACATTGATTCCATTAACTATGAAGAATTTAGTCGCGCCAAGATATTTCGACTTCACACGAGGTCTGAAAAGCCTAAGTATTGATA